CACTCTTAGATTCTTATTTTAGATACAATTCTAACAAGCTACTCAGCTTCATTTCTCAGGTCCAGCAGCTGCAGAGGAATGGCATCTGAGCGGCTTCTCTTAATAGGAAGGTAAGAGAGGGGTGATTAAAGCAATAAACAACGAAGCCTAGGATCCTGGGCCGCTGTGTGTTGGGGCAGCTGGGTCCATCCACATCAAAATAGTGCACCTGGAGCACAATTACTGCCCATGAGTTGCCAAGGAAAGGTAGCATTGTGCAAGAAACTGCAAGGGTGGAGGGCAATTAACTCAGGAGTCTACGTCAAAGAAGAGGGCTGGAGCTGTTCTGCCCCTTCCTGACAGATTTAAACGTCTGAGCCTCAGCTTCTTCCACCAGAGAGGTGGAGACAGTGATTCTGGCTCCCTACAGAATGCCGGCAAGATTAAACAAGCTCTTGAAGGTGAAAACACTTGGTCAACAGCAGCCAAGGTGAGTTCCAGTGTTTGATATGTTCTGCTTAACAAGACTGGAAAGTAGGCTATACATTTTTTGGATATTTTCCAGCAATACAGGGAAAATAATAAAAAGCCGTGGCACAGTCACGCACCATATAATGAGATTTTCGTCCAATGACAGACCACACATACGATGGTGGTCCCATAAGATTATATCGTAGCTGCCCTATATTGGCATACCATTTTTTATCTTTTATACCATATTTTAAATTGTACCTTTTCTGTGTTTAGATCTGTTTGGATACACAAACACTACTGTGTTACAATTGCCATTGTGTTACAGTATTCAGAACAGTAATAACATGCTGTACAGGTCTGTGGCCTAGGAGCGACAGGTGACACCATATAATCTAGGTGTGTAGTAGGCTAGACCCATCTAGGTTTGGGTAAGCACACTCCACGATGTTTGTACAACGATGGAATTACCTAGCAGTGAAGTTCTCAGCAGGTATCCCCATTGTTAAGTTTCATCATCCAGAAAGTTTCCTCTTGCGGGTCCCCTCAGGTAGCTGATCACAGGAGCCATGACTAACTGTCAGCCTCTTGGCCTTGTTACTAGAATATCCAGCCGGTTCACCTTCTGCTTAAAGGTTACCCATGATCTCAATCCACATGTCTAATGAGATCAAGGACAGGCAGAGCAGGACACCGGGTATAGACTCTGAAATCTAGAAGTCACTCATTCAAAATGGGGCCAAACACTCTGTGGGGACAAGCTGCTAAGAAAATGGGGCTCCTGCCTTCAGCCAGCCCCTGGGGAGGTCATTTGGACTCCAAGCCAGATATGGTTGGGAAGGACACCAATTAGCAGCTTGCTGGATCGCTCAGCGGAAAGGCTAGCCTTGGAATCAGCACCACCATCATCATTAACTTATTCTCACTTGCTGAGCACCTATCACAAAGTAAGCATTGTGTGGGCAAAGCAGGGGATTCTGAGACAGGCAGGTTCCTGCCTTCGAGGAGCTCATAACCTACTGGAGGAGGCGCACACTCAGCCTCACAGCGATCCTGTGCTTCTCATCTCCCTTCTAGAGGTGTGGAAACTGACATCTAGCCAAGGTAAATCATTTACCCAAGATCCTCAGCTGGCAAGTGGCGGAGCCAGGATTCAAACTCAAGCTTTGGCTTTAGAGGCCACGCCTGCCGTCCCTACGACCAGCGAAATGGACAATGCAGATAAGTGCCATGGGGGACCGTGCAGGTGAGGAACTTGGGGGTGGGACTCGGGGGTGGGACTCGGGTCCAGGGTGGGCTTTGGAAACAGCTGGATATGGGCTGTAAAGTTGCTTTGCTGCTCATTCACTGCGGGGGGAACCCTGAGGCTCCACTGTTTTCTAAAGCTAAGGACAGCTATGATGCCTCCATGGAGAAGCGTTGTGCAGATGAAAGGAGCCGACCTAGGGAGGGTGCACAGTGCCATCTTGGGCATGTTCCCCCGGACCAAAGGGGACCCGAGAGAGCACAGAAGGTTTTATGGGGAGGCTGTGGTCAGGAAAGGCCTTCACAGAAGAGGTGGCTTTCAAGATGGGCCTTGAAGGATCAGTCAGTTTGGTTTAACTTCAAGGAAGGGAGCAAGGTGGGGCAGGCATGAGCAAAGACACTGGAGATGAAAAAGCTGGGGCCCATGTGGGGAGCAGGCTGGCTGCAGCCCAGGGAGAGAGCTGGAGAGCAGAGCGAGACATGGCTGCAAAGGAAGGTGAGTCCACATTTCAGCTGGCAGGGCAATGACCTCTGCCCATGTTTACTGAGATCCACTCTGCATATGTGCCTGACACCAGCCGTTATCGGGTCCATCCTTTGAAGACACCCCCTATATAGAAGGTGGGGGACAAAGGCAGCAGAGTCACAGCAATGGACTGGCAGCTTCCTTTCCTCCTCTCCTGCCTCCCCCGGGGTTGTGCATTACGCAACACTGGAGCGCAAAAGGCCTGTACTGCTGACATTAACTGCACGTACTGCTGACATTAAACAGACCGCCATTTCACTGTGCACTGGCAAAGGCGTGCGCACGCACTCACACACACACACAGACACACACATGCGGGGTGAGAAGCCAATTAGATTCTCCAAAGGATTGCATAATTCTTAGGTGATTCTAAAATAGCTGATGAAGAATCCACTTTAATCTTTTTTGGGGTGGGCGCTGAAGGGCTGAAGAGCATTGCTAAGATAACTTTTGACAGAATCATTAACAAGAAATAAGATGCCAGCACTTAGTTGCTAAACCAGCAGCTCCTGAAACCACCATCTTTTACACATTCTGAGGGCCATAGAAGCCTCCTGGATGACCAGAGTGAGCGAGGGGGCAAGCCACATGAGAGGCCTGCCCAGCCCAGGCCCTCCCCGCCAACTGCCAAGGGTCACAGTCTTCCCCTCTGAGATGAGCAGAACCACCACCACTGAAATGATCTTTCATGGCCCCAAAGAACTGCCCTGTCTGTGCCAGTCACCTGGCACTTAATTGTGTCCAGCCTGTGCCTGCTATTCCACCCTGGACTCAAATTGTATTGAAAATAAACTGATTTGTAACTCTCTACCAGTGGGCAATGCATCCTCCCAACCGGACTGTGAACCTCTTGTAAGACAGAATTGTGCTCCCGTCACAATCCTGTGTCCACATGTCTGGGACAGACCGGATCACAACTATTTTGCCACGTGCTAGGGAATGAATCTATGGTTTTTTTGTTTGTTTTTGGAGAGATAGGGTCTCGCCATGTTGCCCGTGGCTGGTCTCAAACTCTTGGCTTCAAGCGATCCTCCCACCTCAGTCTGTCAAAGTGCTGGGATTCCAGGCGTGAGTCACCTCGTTTGGTCTGAATCTATGGTTCTTATACGTCTATGAACATTATCTTCTAAGGATACTGTCAGTAAATTCTTCATCTCTGTATCCCATGAGTCTGGAGCAGAGCTTGGAAGACAGTAGTCCAGTTAAGACTTCTTTTGAAGAAATCTTAATTCCACTTTGGAAGAAAGGCTTCATCCAGGAGGTTGGGACCTCAAGGGTGAATGGGAAGTAGGCAGATGAGGGAGGGTCGGGAGGAATCATCAGGGGTCCGAAGGAGTGTGAGGGTGTGTATATGTGTGACTATGTGGCCAGAAATGGTCCGAGCACCCATGGAGGAGCAATTAACCTTGGAGGGAATCAGAAGACATTAGAACTGGAGGGAGTGAGGAAAGCAGGGAAGCGTAGGCAGGCAGGTGTGCAGGTCTGATGGCAGAAGGCTGAGGATGTTTTCATATGATGGCTTCTATTTTCTCTCTGAAGATGGCAGTAAAGGTATCTTCTAAGAAGGAGGAGGGAGGGAGGGGGGAGGGGGAAAGATGGCAGGTTTGGGGAGCAAAAAACAAGTTTTGAAATAGCCACTGAGAAGAAAGGAGAGGCCAGGTGAGGTGGCTCATGTCTGTAATCCCAGCACTTTGGGAGGCTGAGGCTGGAGGATCACTTGAACCCAAGACTTCAAGACCAGCCTCAGCAACATGGCAGAACCCCATTCTGCAAAAAAATAATAAAAATCAGCCAGGCATGGCAGTGCATGCTTCTAGTCCCAGCTACTCGGGAGCCTGTGATTGCACCACTGCACTCCAGCCTGAGTGAAGGAGCGAGACCCTGTCTCACCTTCCAAAAACAAAAAGGAAGAAGAGAACCCAGGGGTGGAGATGGAAGTGCAGGACTGAGGGTCTAATTGAGGTTGGAGACTCCGTGTTTCTGTTACACCAAGGTGTGTGGCTGGCCAAGATTTCTTCGGTACCCGTGTGGAGGTGGACTGATTTGGCTTGGGGTTTCATCGGATGGAAGGAGGCCTTTGAGAATGTGGAGGTCATGGGCCAGGAGGGGGAAGAAGCAGGTTGAGGGCGAGGTAGAAAGCAGAGACAGCAATGGACAGGAAGCCCAAAGATGGTGGAAAACTTACCAGAAGTGACTCAGGTAGCTAGAAGTGGAAGAGATTGTGGCTGGGGCCATCAGAGGAGGTGTGGATGCTGTTGATAAGGTTTCCAATGTGGCCCCGAGGTGGGAGGCTGATGTGAACACGAGGAGGTCAAGGAACTGGTGCCGAAAGCGCTGTACTGAGGAGGGGGCCCTGCTCCCCGCAACTCAGATACCCTAGAAGCATCCACTCCGAGTCCAGAGCTCCGGGAATGCATCAGTCCCACAGCCTCATTTTAAAACCAGGGACACGGAAAGGGTCCAGGCCTGACCCAAGGTGACGAACGGGGTTTGCGACTAATGGGGCTGCTCCCCGTTCCACCGTGCCCGGGCCGGGGCTCTCCTTCCCCGGGACACTCTCCCCCAGCGAGAAGCGGAGGCAGGCGACGCCAGGAAGGAGGAGAGAAGGAGGCCGCGGGTCCCTGTCGCCTCCAGGCCGGGCATGGCAGCTCGCTATCCACTGACCCGGGGCTCAGGGCCTCCACCCTCCCGGCCTATCCGCCCCATCCGACCCCACCCGACCCAGGCCACTTCCGGTCCGTCGGCCACGCCGGAAGCACGTGGCCCCCCACCCCGCGGCGTTGCCCGGGAGACCGGGGCTGTTTACCAGTGGGACAGAGCCGGGCACAGGCGGCGGATGGAGCGGAACGGCGAGGTGAGAGCGGCTGCCCGACCCCCCTCGGCCCCTGGCAGGCCTGGAAGGGACGGGACAGGCCAGTCCCCCGAGCTCCCAGCAGGTCGCCCCCTGCAGGTCACTGGGGCGGGCCTCCCCAGACCCGCCCCCAGGGACGTGAACCCCTGGAGACATGCGAGGGGCCTGGATAAAAGTCTGCTTCCCCGAGGCAAAGCAAGCCTGTCCAGAGCTGACCTTTACCAAAATAGGATGACGCCCGGGCTCTGCAGAAGCTGAGTAGCCTATGCAACCGCTGGGCCTTGCCCTCCAGGCTGGGGACACAGACCCTGGGAGAGAAAAGGACATCCCAGTCTCTCGGGCAGGGCAGAGACCCGAATCAGATGGACCCTCCCCCAGACCTGTGCTCTTTCACTTAAGTCAATTCTCACTTTCTAAAACGCTCTTTCTCGCCCCTCCCCCAGATCCCTCCCCTGCCCCTTAAGCCTGTTGCCTTCTAGGGTGCTGTCACTTGGACATAAGTGAGTTATCCCCACCACCTCCCTGCCTTTCTGTCGCTGGAATCATCCCCAGTTCTCGTTCCAAACATTTGATCACTTGGTGGCTTGTGGTTCAATGTGGCACTCTGTATAGGACACTGTATTCTAATCATTAGTTTGGGGCAGAACTGGCAATGGTACCAGAGTTTTTTCTTTCTCCAGCCAACTACCATCTCCTGTTGGTTCTTCAGAGCATTTTTATCCTGAAAGCCTGGTGGGGGTGGGTTTGGGGGGGGTGACAACGGATGGGATTAACTGATACAGTTTTAAAAGACCAATTCAAATGTATGCAACTTGGTATATACCAGCAGATGGTATGTAGGTGGTTATATTTTACTGCATATACTGTAGGCTTAGATTTGGGTTGTGAGTGAAATGGGGTGGTCTGACCCTGTAGTGGCTGGTGGGTACCCTTAGAAAGCAGGAGCCCTGCTTCAGCTTCTCCCATCCACATTTCCTTCTTCCTAGTTGATCTGGTGATGAATCTGAAGGAATAGGCACCTGCCCGTCTGACAACTTCTTGGAAACAGTTAGCAGTGTTTGCTTCCTGACTCCTAGCAGGCCTCTGGGGTGCAGCTATTGTGTTTAAGTAAACAGGCCACTCGCCTATTCAGCTTGGCAGCTTGGTAGATGCCTACGCCTAGTTCTTGTCAAATCACTTTGTGGTTGAGCAGCTGCCAGACCTAGAGGTGGTGAAATGAACTGAGCAAGGATAATGATGGCTGCTGCTAGGAGCCTTCCTGGACTGAGGGTGGCGGGCAGAGTTCGGACCCGAGGTGTGAATATCAAGGCACAGTTGGCCCAGATCCCCAAACACCTGTTTCCCCCTCCACCCCATCCCTATGTGATGGATGCTAGGGAGAGCTGGTGTTCCCTCCGTGTAACAGATGGTCCCTGCACTCGGGAGGAGGCAGTGGGTTATGAAAGCAGGTTGGATATAATGGTTTTACCTGAAGGAGGTGTTAGTCTCTAAATAGCCATGAGTGGGTTCCTAGGAATTAGTCATAATTGAGGTTTTTTTTTTTCTCTGAGATAGCTCACAGTCATGTTATCTTATGACCAGGGTGTCTTGAATATGACACCCCCTGAACATGGATAATTATATAGTACCAAAAGGTATAGAAAGTGCATGCACATACTCAAGTTTTACTGTTAAAAATAATCCCTGCAGTGAGCCTGTGAGAACACATGACTCTCCTCATCAAAGTTGTTAAGGAAGAGGTTTCTAAGTTACCAAACTCACTGACAGTTAAACCTTCCTGAGGCATGTGTGGGTGTTGGAAGCCAAGCCTGTGATAATTCTGTAGAAGCTGTGGCAAATTAATAGCCATTCCACAAGTGGGGTGGGTGGGCCGAGAGGGGCGTGGGTTTGCCTGTGGGGCTTATCTTTGGCAGAACAGTTGGACAGCTATGACCTTCTCCTGCCATCCTGAGTGAAAGTGCAGAGCTGCTAATTGCCAGAGAAAGACTTGAGCATGAGACTAAAGGGGGAAAAACACATTCTTCACAGTTGATCAGAAAATAGATGAAATTAACAAGGAGATGGGCAGTCTTTTTTGATGCCAAAACTTTGCTAAGGAGAAGCCTCCTGAGCTACTAGCAGCCAGACTGGGTGTGAAAGACGAGGGAGACATGGAAAATGGGAGTGGAGAGAGACTCAGGCTGTGAGTAGAATGCAGCAGACAGAGAGGGCTTTAAAATTTAAAAAAAAGATAGCATTGTCCAAGATTTGGAACTGAGCAGGACATTGGGAATATACAGGGATATTGTGTTTTGTTTGGTCCTGGGGTGAGTGGGGATGAAGCAGATACTCCCTAAAATTAGGCAGCAGTGGTTCTATGCACAGAATGGTAAGGTTAGAATATGAAGCCCGAGAGGCTCAGGTTATGTTGTTCAAGATTTTGTGATGAAAGGAGTGCGTGTGCAGGAAGTGCAAATCATTCTGCAGGAAGTGAATTTGAGGCAAGTGTGGAATTAGAAGAGAAGTGAGCAACTCAGGATTTTTTTTTTCCACACGTTTTTGAGGCAACTGCATAGGTGGCAGCTCATAGCAGTCCACCTCCCTGCATTTCTGCACCGTGGACAGGGCGGGTGTGAGTTTCAGGACTCACCCAGCTGGTTCCTTAGGAGTAGAATCACTGAGGACACAGGGGGAAAGTTCTAAAGCAAAACAAGTAAGGCTTTTGAACTTAGCCTAACAGAGGGCACTGAACAGACAACCCAAAGCAAAAACAAAAACAAACAAACAAAACCCTTAACATTTAATGATGTCTCTACCATGCTCTAAGCCTGGTGCTTCCTGCCTTACCTACATTATTTCATGTTATTATCCTCATGCTACAGACAAACAGACTGATGTTTCGAGGTATTTAAGTAATATCTCGAAGATCATTTAGCTAATTTGATAGATGAGGAAAGTTTTGTGCCAGAAAGGTAGAGTGAGTGCCCCTTGGTCACGTAGCTAGCCAGTGGCAGAGAAGCTGAAATTGAATTCAGGTCATGTGACATCCAGTTCTCTGTCCTTTGCACCCAAATATGATGTTTTTTGGGGGACCATGTGTCACTGGGAAGTCGCCAGAAGGTCTTTAGAAGGCTAGGAGAGGCCAGGTCAGCTTGTGAGTGGAGAAGGCAGGAGTCACAGTGGTGGTCAGCATTCAGAGGGAGGCAGGGGACCCAACAAGATGTTTGCTATGTTTGGGGAAAGATGGAACTGGAGATTGGGAGGAGGAGGTGGTGGTAATAGTGTTAGTGAAGTGGCCACCAACATGGCAACGAAAGAGGAGGTGTCATGGTATAGCAGTTCCGGGTCTGCACAGAGAGATGTTCACGCCTCCCACCATGTTTCATTTCATTGCTTCTGGCGGATTTTACCAGCACTCACGTAGACTTTTGGTGGGAGATCCAAATACAGAGGCCCCAGGGTGCCTATAAGGCAGCTGGGAAGACAGAAATGTGAACAGCTCGGGAGGCTGAGGCACAAGAATAGCTTGAACCAGGAAGGTGGAGACTGCAGTGAACTGAGATTGTGCCACTGCATTGCAGCCTGAGTGATGGAGTGAGACTCTGTCTCAAAAATAAAAAAAAAATAAAAATAAAAAAAAAGAAGAAAAAAGAAAAAAAGTGAACAGCTAGCAGACATACAGAATGTAATGTGCTGGGAGGGCACCAAGGTTGCTCCTCAGGAAGCAGCTTGTATGGGTACAGAGGACACACAGGACCGCGTGTCACAAGACCCGGGTCCTGTCTCCAGCGCTGCCACCAGCTGGCTGTGTGACCATCAGGAAATCACTCTATCTTTCTGGCTCATACATCTGTAGAATTAGCATGTGCCCAGAGTTGCTATAAGACAGGGGTCAACAAATGGCGGCCCACAGGCCAAGTCCAGCCTCGTCCCCTAGTTTGTGTGGCTCATGAACTAAGAATAGCTTTCACATTTTAAAATCATTGAAAAAGAATCGAAAGAGAATATTTTGTGACACATGAAAATTATCTGAAATGCAAATTTCAGAGTCCAAAAATGAAGTTTTATTGAAACACAGCAGGTTTTCTGTTTTTTACCAGAAACTTCCTCCCTCCTGAAAGAAGAAGCATTAGTCCCCCATCTTAGTCACCCTCTGGTACAATTTTCTTTTTATTTTCTTCATAGCAGTTGTTACTCTTTGAAAGTATCTGTTTACTTGTGGGTTTTAACCCCTGTCTCTCCTCACTATAATAATTTACATTGCAAGGACTTGGGTTCGCTGATCTCTCCCAAGTGCCTAAAATAAATGAATGCATGCCGGAATGAATACATTGCAGCTGGCGCCCCTTTCTAGATGCCAGAAATTTGTGCTTATTCTGGGCACTCAGGGAGGGAATGGCTTGGATCTAAGAGTCCCAGCAAGTTTAACCCACTTCTTCCTGTTTTTCTCCCGCTCCCTTAGGGGTCTTGAGAAGCAATGGCCACAGAAGCCCCTGTGAACGTAGCGCCACCTGAGTGCAGCTCTGTTGTCAGCACGGCAGCTGACAACCTCCTTTGGCAGCCAGACTCACTCAAGAGGCACATGATAAGGCCCAAGTCTGCCAAGGGACGGACAAGACCGAGTCTGCAGAAACCCCAGGGCACGGAGGTGTGCTCTCATCACGTGCCACCTTCTCCGCCTCCAGCCATTCCCTACGAGTCTCCAAGCAGCCAAAAACCAGGCGCCTGTCCACCCAAATCGCCAAGCCAGGGAGTCTCTGATGAGATCCCTGAGCTGCTGCAGCAAGTGCCCATTGGGGGTTCCTCTTCTCTCAATAAGTATCCAGTCCTTCCTTCCATCAACAGAAAGATCCTGGAGGAGGAGGCTGTGGAAACAGTCGCGGAAAAGGCCAGCTCGCTGCAACTGAGCAGCACCCGGGCTCTCGACCAAGAGGAGACCCGCGCAAGAGAAGAAGATTCCAGAGCTCGTGCTTGTACCATAGAGAGGAAATTCAAGAGACAGGGCTCGCGCAGGGCCGGAAACCTGGAGGAACCATCGGACCAAGAACCCAGGTTGCTGCTTGCCGTCAGATCACCAACGGGCCAAAGGTTTGTACGCCATTTCCGGCCAACTGATGATTTGCAAACCATTGTTGCTGTGGCCGAACAGAAGAACAAAACCTCCTACCAACACTGCAGCATTGAAACAATGGAGGTGCCCAGGAGACATTTTTCTGACCTCACCAAATCTCTGCAAGAGTGCAGGATCCCCCACAAGTCTGTGCTGGGCATCTCGCTGGAAGACAGGAAAGGGTGGCCCTGAGTCCACAGCCACCCAGCTGGGGTCCTGGGTCTCTGAGCAAGGAGCGCGCTTGGGCTTTGTAGCCTCCCAAGCAGCCTGTTTCAAGTGCCATATGGACCTCGTGCAGCTGGGAAGCTTGGGACTCTCGTCTCCACTGCGTGTCCTCTGAAGCAGTGAAATCTGAGCCTGCGCCGAGCGCGCTAAGAAGGCTCCCTTCCAGCTGTTCCATTCTCTCCGCCAGCAGAATAAACTGGCAAGTTACCAAGGCTGTTCCTGAAACAGCAGTAATCACCACTTCTCCTTTCCAGAGTTTTGGGTCCTTCTAAACTAACGGTCCCTTTGGAACACCTGCTTGCCTCTACCATGAACTCTGATTCTCTTGCAATGCTTTCCTTACTGTATTTGATGCAGGATTAAACACTCCCCAGAGGGATTCTAGTCTGGTAAATAACCAGGGTGTAGGAACTATCTAACTGGCATTTGTGTTTCTTGCGAGTATTTTAAAGAAACAGGCCGTTGACCCCGTCTTTGGAAGTAGCCCCTTTGCATGCCACGGTCAGTTTCTTGGGGATTACCATTTGTGTAAGGTGGCATCAAAGAGAAGAATGGGTCTTCTTCCCCAGAACATCGGCATTTCTAAAACAGTCCTAGAGCTGGAAAGTAAGCTGCTTCCATGAGCATGGATTACCCAGCAGCTACTTTTTTTTACCAGAGACTGACTAGGTTTACAACTTCTAGTGCTACTCCCTGTGGGCAGACTTCTTCCAAAACAGAAAAGCCAGTGCAATCTGATTTCTTTTGCTTTTGTCAGTAATGGAATCTTTTGTTTTTAAAACGTACAAACCTGTAAGTCTAAACAGGTTTGTACTGCCAGCCTCCTTGGCTTATCTGGGGGTGGAGCAATTGTTTTATTCCCCAGTTCCAGTGTGTCACCCACTTCCAACATGGAACGTCCTTTGGAGCTGTGACAGGTCCCCGTTCTGATTTAGAACCTCTGGAGGAGGAGGGGGTACCTTGGTCTGGTGTGACTTTGCTGTGCCTGTGCTGAGAGACCACATGCCCAAGCATCTGGTTAACCAGCAGGAAGTACATCAGCCTGTCTCAGCCTGAGCCGCTTTGAAGACCGTGGGGTCTCATTTCCAACTTTGAAGTGGTGATGTGGACAATTTGCCAACGTTCTCCTCTATTACAAGTTCAGCCAGACGCCACAACTCATCTGACCCCTTTTATGGCCAAATCATCATTCAGAGTAGGGAATACTCAGACATTCTGGGCATGCTGTTCCCCCAGAGCGTGGTCATCACAAAGCCCTGAGTTCCGGTATGCGCCCCTGCCCCCTGGGTACACGAAGAGAAGGCAGGAATCAGGAGTTCCAGAAGCATATACACGTGGCTACCCCAGCAACAAGTGCCTGCTGTGCTCAGATAAGGTGCATGGTGGGGAGTGTTTTTTCTCGCACACGGAGGCTTGGCCGTGGAGATGGGCACCACTGCCGTTTGCTCGGAAGAAGGCTGGCCTCGTCCTAACTGCATCCCACACCGCCCAGATCACCTAGAATAGGTTATTTCTGAACATTTTACAGAATTTCTTAATACCATCCTGGTTTGGTCAGCCATTCCTTTGATTGGAAAGGTTAGCTGGCGCCTGTGGTACCTCGGGCACGTCCACACAACTGGCCACCTCTTCCCGTTAGTGACTACAGCAGACGGAACTTGAGCCCAGCACCTAAACAGTACAGGAATTTCCCTTCCCACCAGGACTCAAGCACATAACTCTGCCTCTGATCTAGGAGGCTGGGGGAAGAGCCTCTCATAAAATCACACCTACTCTGTGGTAAGAATAAAATCCCACCCACCTGGGACTTGGTAATTTTTCCAGACAGGAAAGCTTTAGAAAAACTTGAGTGAAATGGAGCAAGCTTGAAGAAGTTAGAATCTTCTGCACTTAGGGTTTGCTGCTGCTGCTGCTGCTGCTGCTGCTGCTGCTGCTGCTGCTGCTGCTGCTGCTGCTGCTGCTGCTGCTGGTGAGCTTAGAATTTGGGGGTTGGGGAAAAGTGGAAGGCACGAAGCATAGAAATATTTTAGGATATTTTAGGATATGTTAATAAAGCTAGACTCAAACCATCATAATAATTTTTTTTTGACAAAAACGGTGATGCTAACAATAAAAACCAACTTGTGTGAAACTGAGTCAGTGGAGAAATGCATCTTGTATTTTAGCCTAAGACTTCAGCTACCACGCACTACTGGACAGGGGTGTGTTAGCCTGATCTTCAGTTTTCTCATTGGGAAACCTCTGCTGTTAGAACCAAGTCCTCCTCCCTGGACACTTCAGATGCCCCCTGCAGAAGCTGTGGGGCTCCTGCTCTAACCTTCCGTCATAGCACTTAGCTTGTCTGGATACGAGTCACCTGAATTTTTCCTAAACATCATTCCAAGTACTCTGATTTTGAGCATTGGCAAGAACCAACTAAATCGGAATTCAGAGTTCCTGGTGGCTCTGCATGTGCAGCTGAGGACCCCTGTCCTAAATGGACTCAACTGGCCCAGCGCACCCTTCTTGGTGGCTTTGGGTGGGTCAGCCTTGCCCAATTTGGAGTCACAGACCTTAGTTATTCATTTAACCAATGGTCATTGAGGGCTTACCCGGTGCCATACTTCAAGACAAGCATGGGTGTCCTGGCAAGAAAGTATCGGCAAGAAAATGTGAACCCACCATTGGACTCTCCGCTCAAACCCCACTGAAGTCAGTGGCTGTAGCTTTATCTGCGAGGGATCCTAGAGTGAGGCTCCCACATTATTACTACTGGCTCTTCTCCCCACCTTCTGGCAATGCTAAGGAAACCCTTCCCGGCCTTTCCTAGTGATGGAGTAGGGACTTTGCATAGGACAAAGCTTCATGGTAGGTTATTCCAATATATTCCCTGATAAAGTCCAATAGGTAAATTAGTCTTGGCAGCAGAAGGAACAGCAGGAGAAGTAAGTGACTCATCATCTAGAATCCAGAAAATTTGCACCAACAGATGGCAGGTGGTTATAACACACAGTTCTTGCCCTGAGAGTATCTGGGGACCCAGCCAACAGCCGTCAAGCCAGGGCAGTCCTGCAGGAGAGATGGCTTGTGAGCATGACTGTGGACCCACAGTCACCCCAGAGCACCCACATAAAATGCTTCACAGACAGAGACACTAAGCGCAGCCTTGAGACATTCATTTCAATTAATATCCTGAAAGACGAGAGCCAGATCCAGCCGCATCACAAAAGCAGGCACTCGAGGAATGAAGCTTTGCTTTTGTTCATGCTCTTACCTGCCATTTTAAATGGGTGTCTAATGTCAAATAAAGCCACCCTGCCTCTTGGGACAAAGATGTTTCTCTTTACACAGTTTTAAAAATAAAGCCCTCATAATAAGTTTGAATAAAAGAGCCTTTTACATGGTAAGAGGATCTACTTTTCTACCTTTTAAATGGAATAATGAAGAAAGGTATATTAATTTGCTTTAGCGTTAGTTTAGAAGTCATTATGAGAATGAAGCAGGAACATCCGTTTTCTTAGTCCACAAAGGCAACACCCCACAATAAAGTTAAAAGTTCACTAGCCTATGGACTCTCATCCGAAAACCAGAACCAACCAAACCCCATCATATAACAGGGAAGGCCCGAGGTCACTTCGGAGGAGTTAGCAATCAAGAGAACAGACTTTTGGTGACTCAGTTACCGACACACAAGATAGCAACTCATAAAACTAAAATTGGGTGTTTTATTTTTTGTCTACACTGGTGGCGTGCCACTTTCCTTTCCTGATTAGGGAAGCTTCTCCCAGCCCTTTCTGACGTTCATCTGTGTTCCTTTACGTTCAAACAGTTTAGGAAGCAGCAGCCCTCCTAACAGTCGACGCGGAAGCACAGATCTCTGGAGGTATTTTTGGACACACTTAAATCCTATCCCAAGAGGCTGAACCACTGTGGAGACAAATGCCCAGGGGTAAAACTGCGCAAGCCTCATTCAGACTGACCTGCTCAGAGGCGCCCTCTGGCTGCCGTGTTGAGGGGCTGGGGTGGAAGATGGAAGACCAGGTGCTGGAGGTATGACCAAGACCCAGCAAGACGGGATGGTGGCTCGGGCCAGGGTGGTAGCCAGAGATGTCATGAGAGGTGACCAGATTCTGGACATATAGTCCATTTTTTTAAGGAAAAAACAAAGGCTAGTTTGACAAGTTGGGATTTACCCAAGTGGACTTAGCTTGACCAATATCACCAACGTGGATTGCTTCTGCAAAAACAAAGATGCAAACAAACACCATGGCAGCAAAGCACATGCCAGGCGGGGAAAAGATACTGACCAGCAGGAACATTCACATCCAGGAAATGCATGAGTGTTTTTGGACAAAGTGTACAGAGAAAACCAAAGCTATTGTTTTAATTAAGAGAGAAAACTAACGTCACTGTTTCACTTAATGTTTAGGTGAAAGTTAAAAGTAATTATCTAACTCTAGGGGTGTGTGATGTGATTGCTGACCAAGGTTACTTAATAAGAAATCTTCGTTCCAGTTAAATCCATTGTTTATCTCTGTCTCCCATCCTTCATCCCTCCTGTTCTTGCTACCTTTCCTTCCATTTATTCCAATCCAGCAGCTGACTGGGGATGCATTTCTTCTTGGGAGGGCAAATGAAGCCATCATTCTGGGGCCTAATTAATAAAGCTCCTAGTTTCATAATGTTCGTGCCCACCTCGTGTTTATATAGGGGAATCTGTGCAGTGGGGCCTTTTTGTGACCAGCTGAGAGCTGTGTCTCTCTGACATTTGTCCTCTTTGACAGGAGATGTTATGCGTAGGTGTCATGGGTCCACTCTGGCTGGTGAGCGCCTCCAGCAGATAGCCTGGGTCTGCTCTAGCTCTAGCCACTGTTAACAAGAACGGCCAGCCACCTGCAGACAAACCCTGGGAGAATGGCGGGAGCTCCCACCCTGCCAGCTGGGACGTATTGTCTGGAAACTGCTGCTTCCCATCCCTCCCCCTGTATACAACCGTGGGATCCTGCAGATGTCAGCCCAGACCAGATGTAAGTATACCAGGTCCTGAAGACTCTGGATCTGGGCTCTTGGCCACTCTGTAGAGGATTTCCCCAGCCCCGGCCTGGACCTCAGCTCACTCTTTTCCTTCCTTTTTTTTTTTTTCCCCTTTTGTCACCCAGGCTGGAGTGCAGTGGCACGATCTCGGCTCACTGCAAACTTGTCCTCCTGGGTTCAAGCGATTCTCCCACCTCAGCTTCCCAAGTAGCTGGGACTACAGCTGCGCACCACCATGCCTAGCTAACTTTTTGTATTTTCATAGAGATGGGGTCTCACCATGTTGTCCGGGGGACAACCCTGCTCCTGAGCTCAGGCAATCGGCCCACCTCAGCCTCCCGAAGTGCTAGGATTACAGGCTCGAGCCACCGCACCCAACACTCTATTCCTTCTTAATGGAGTTCCCAGCAGGCTGTCATCTGATTGAAATCATCTGTAACAAATTCATTCAACAAATACATATTAAGCACCTAGATGGCAGGCACATATCAGGCTCATCAGTGAACAGAATAGGCCAAAACTCCCTCTTCCCACATACGAATAGGAGGAGACAGAAAGTGAACAACATCCATAATTAATATAGAATGGTAGAAGAGGATACATGCCGTGGAAAAGAGAAAAGTGGAGCAGGCTGTGGGGATCTGGAGAGCATGGGTGGGGCAGGGGGTTGGCAGAGGATGAGGTCTGACATGGATGGCCAAGGAACACCCGAGTGAAGAATCAGAAGGAAGCAAGGGAGCCGGCCTGTGGATAGGTGAGGGAAGAGTGCTCCTGGCAGACAGGACGCGAAGGTCCTAAGGAGAGAGCATGAGCATGTCTAGCCTGTTAGAGGAAGGACCAGCAATGGGTGTGGCTGGAGCCATGTGGGTAGAGCAGTCAGAAATGGGGGCAGGAGACACACGGTGTCACTCTGGGTCAGAGGTGGCTGAGCAGAGGAGTGGTGCCCGATGGAGGTCTTCAAATCCACTCTTGGCTGCTGAGTTGAGATTAGGCAAAGATGGAAGACCAAGCAGAAGCTATTAGCATAACCTAAGTGACAGATGATGGCCAGAATGGTCCCTACAGGTGTCATGAGACATGGTCAGCTTCTGGGAAAAGAATCTATTTATTTTTTTAAAAGTAATAATTTTATTGTAAAAGTAGTATTGAAGTAAATGCTAACCCATGATGTGCACCATCATTATAAATTCTTTTTCCAGGCACAAAAGACTCATTCTTAGAGAAGCCATTATATTCTTCCCCCAAAACAAAAACACATGCTTTTCTTGAAAAATGGAAAACTTGGGAAATACAGAGAAGATGAAAGAGGAAAAGAAAAATCATCCACAATCCTTTTGGTCAGAGATAACCGTTGTTAATATTTTGCATATATTTTTTCATCCTTAATGACTAAATTTATGTTGCACATTGCTTTCTTGCCAGTAGGCACACATGCATATTTTTAACATTTGTAATCTTAGCAAACACAGTTAAATATTCTTTCTCCAAATTTCTACAGCCTTCATGATTATTTTAAGACTGAGTAATATTGAACATGTTGATGTACCATAATTTATTAAACCATTTTCCCTTTATGGAAGGAACAGCTACATGTTTCCAATTTTTTTTTCTTTTGCTATAGAAGTCTATGCTGAAATCTTAATTTAGGTAGCTTTTGCATCTTTGAATTGTTTCTTTAGGACAAACGTCCAGGAATAGGATTGGTAGGTCAAATTATATAAAAATTTTGTATGGATTTTGCTTGGCTTTTCAAAGCATTATATAACAAAGCACATAACAACTTCACCGTAGCATCTTTAGTTTTGTGGTCACTGCTTTTTAAAATTTTCCCTAATATTGTTGATTGAAAATAGAAACTACACTTCAAAAGCTTTCCATGCTGCTGATTACTATTAAGTATTAGCATTTCCCATGCCTCTCAACACACCTCTCATGCTAAAATGAAAACCTGAAGGCACAGTTACTCTGTTGTCACAATCCAGACACTCTATTCCAATTAAAGCCAAGGGAAGTAGGACTGCTGGGGGCTGAGAGAGAAATGTCTTTGTTCTTACTATTCATATTTATTTGAAACATTACACTTCTCAAAATAGGTATGGTCTTGAACATGGTCTTGAAAACGTATGTAAGATTTTAATGAATGAAATCTTATTTAAATACATATCTTTTCATTGAGCCAACAAATGGAACATGTACATGCAACAGACAGGGGACTTGACCATGAACCAGACTGGTCTCTGCTCTCAAGAAACTTCCAAGCTACTGAGAAGAGCCAAGTGAATTTAAAATGGGGATATACGGTAAGAACTATACTAACCTTTTATCAAGTGAGATACTGACTAGCACAATAGTGGCAGGAAACAGTCCTCTCCATCTACCATCAACAGTCTCTGGAAGGATGTCTGATTGTTCAACTTTACGGAAGCTTGATCAGAGCCATTAGCATTCAGTCTGAGGAACAGGGCTACCAAGTCATGGATTTCCAATGCCTTTTAATTTGGCTTTTAAAAAAAAGTGTGGAGGAGGTGTGAGAGACAGGTTGAGGCAAAGTCCAGTCTGGGAACACAGGAAATCAGTTCACTCTGCAGAGAGCGATTGTGCCCATCGCCGTGGAGAAGAAATTCCTGGGTGTTATTGAAAATGCTCTTGCACTTGGTCTTGGATGTTCAGGCTACACTACCCTGCTCAGATCATTTCCCACCAGGCCTCCCAGCCAAAGCATCTGTCATCAACCTGTATAGAGTCCTCAGTCCCACCCTCCAGGAAGTCCAAGGTGTGAGCCACAGACACCTGCTCAAGAGAGAGATCGACATGTACACTCACAGTCCACCAAAGAGGCTGTCCCTTCACACTGATGCAGAGGAGCTGGAAGACCAGTGTATAAACAGGGGTGTGGCAGACAAGGGCCAGGTGCGAAGCATTAGGGGAAATGCAGAAAGTCACCCACAAATCCCAGACAGCGCATTTTCTACAGATGGGGATGGGTAACCCCCACTCAGAGTAGCCAGAAATACCTCCCAAATGGCTTCTGAATTCTAAGACTGTCCAATGGGCAAAAATAGAATAACGAATTTTTTAAAGGGGGTCTCCACATCCAAAAGACTCTGGAACTTTTTAAAGAAGGTCTGCCCCAGATCAGCAGAAGTACCGTCTCTGGAACTGGATTCTGGGAACCACTCTTTTAGAAACTCCCCAGGGACTGCTGAGGCTCAGCTGGGCTAAGAACTTCTGGGCTAGATGAGGTCATTTCAAGGTCTCTTCCAACACCTGTGGTCCATGACTCTCCAGGGCTGTCCTG